CAATTTTTTCAAGATTTTTGGCAGTTATGGGTCTCTTGAATTTCCAGTATTGACCTGTTAGTTTCTGCAAAAAGGGCAGCTGGGATTTTGGTGAAGATTGTAGTGACTGCAGGTCAATTGGGGAGTCTTATCCTAATAATACTAAGCCTTCTAATCTGTGAGGGTCGAATGTCTCCTTTAATTAGTTCTTTAATTTCATTCAATGATATTTTATAGTTTTCAGATACAAAGTTATGTAGTTATTTTGTTAAATTTATCCCTAAATATTTTTTGATGCAACTGTAAATGGAATTGTTTTCTTAATTTCACTTTTGTATTGTTGGTTGCTAGTATATAGAAATACAGTTGATGTTTGTATTAACCTTGTACCCTGTAACCTTGCTGGATTTGTTTCTTAGTTTTAATAGGTTTTTAGTGAATTCTTTATGATTTTCTATATACAAGATCATGTCATCTGCAAATAGAGATAATTTTACTTCTTTTCCAGTCTGGGTGTCATTTATTTTTCTCCTCTAATCACTCTGGCTAGAGTCTTCAGCGCAGTGTTTCATAGAAGGGCAGGAATGGACATCTTGTTTTGTTCCTGATCTTAAAGGGAAAGCATTAAATCTTTCACCATTAATATGGTGTTAGCTGTGGGGTTTTCATAGATGCCCTTTATCAGGTTGGGAGTTTCCTTATATTCCTAGTTTATTGAGTGTTTTTAATCATGAAAGAGCTGGATTTTGTCAAATGCCTTCCCACACCTAATGAGTTTATCTTGTCCTTTATTCTATTGATAGGGTGTAGTATGATTAATTGACTTTTCAGATACTAAACCCATCTTTCATTTCTGGAATAAAGCCCACTTGTTGGGGTGTGTGGTCTTTTTATATGTTGCTATTCCATTTGCTAGTATTTGCTGAGGACTTTGAGTCCATGTTTGTGAGAGGAAACCTATGGTTTCCTGGTGTCTGTTCTTGATGCCAAGTTAATTCTGGCCTCAGAATGAGGTGGGGAGTGTTCACTCTTCTTCTGTCTTCTAGAATAGTTTCTGAAGACTTGGTGTTGATTCTTGTTTAAGTATTTGGTAGATGTCACCAAAATCCTCTGGTCATAGGCTTTTTTCTTTGTGGGTAGTTTTTAAATTACTAATTCATTCTCTTTTCTCTCGTTCTTATTCATTATAAATCTATTCCTATTTTTAAATTTCTTCTTGAGTCAGTTTTGGTATTTGTGTCTTTTGATGAATTTCTCCATTTCATCTCAGTTATCTAATTTTTTGGTATATAGTTGTTCACAGAGTTACTTAAAATTCTTTTTATTTCTATAAGATAAGTAGAGATCGATATCTATTCATAGATTTCTAACTAGTAACTAGTTATTTTAATCTCTCAAAGAAATTAACCCTTAAAGTTGAGGGCCTTTTTAGGGATAAGAATACAAAGAAACGGAAAAGCAAAAAATCATTGAGTCCCTTACTGTTCCTGCAAATGGAGTAAGCAACATGAACATTAATTCCCGACTGGCACACAATACTGAGACGGAGCCTCGGAAAAAGTGTTAGGAGTGGATAGCCTTCTGCTGTTCATTACTCTCCAAAGAAATACCTCTGGGTTAAGAAATCCTTTTCCTCACAACCTGTGGGCTTCCTATGACCTTGAGCAAAAACACTTGACCTAAGTGTCCAACTTTCCGGCTGAGAGTAGAGATAACACTACCACGTGCAAAACAATCAGGTATTCATTTTTCATTGTAGCGTCTCAGCAGTTCTTTAGAAACCTTATATAGGTCAGATCCCATTATTCTGCACTCCAAAGGGCTGACCAAAATTTTGGATGGTATATTTCCCCCTTGTCTTTAAGTTTCACTCATTTTACAGTTTCCCAATTTATAAAAGGTATCAAAAATACCTTTTTATATTTTAGAATGTAAAGTCTTGACTGCAGGGAAATTTCAAATTAAAATAGTATAGCACGTACCCAGGCAACATACAGGAGTTCTAAGTGTGAAATTCCCTAAGAGTAGAAGAGATCAGTGCCATTTGTGAAAGTGCAGAGGGTAAAAGATTTCTGAGTTCGGGATCCTCATTCTGACAAGTGCATTCCCAGCCCAGCACTGTTTTTACCCTTTGGCCAGAAGTCACTGTTGGTATATAATTTTTCTTTTTCATGAAAACCTTTCTATCTCTTAATAAAACATTTAGATTCCCATTATAGTCATTTATTATAAAAGCACTTTGGGAAGGCTATTTACTGCTCAACTAAAAGATATTGTTAAAATTAAGTGATATGGGACATTAAATGGAAATAAGTGTTCAATTTACTAAGAGTTTAAAACACTGTAGACAGCCTTTTGTTGTAGACAAACCATTATATATATATTTTTAGAAAATATTCTATATTTTAAAAGAAGCTCACATGTAAAAAGAGAAAAGGTCACTAAAGTAGAGCTGTCAGCATCCAGAACAGCATCAAAAAGCCTGCTGGTGCAATCATTAAGGAAATCAGTATACAGGCCAAATTATTGGTTGCAAACACTATAAACAATGGGATTTCTCAAACGGAAAAAGCAATGTAGGTCCCAGAAGTTGGCTTCCAAGGAAACTGCTCACTGGAAGAAGAATGTTTATGGGGACCAGCAGGATCACCTGCTATTTTCTACTCCCTGAAAACAGAGAAAGTAGGAGGTTAGCAAGGAACTTGGAAAGGCAAGGACTAGATCCTCTCTTTAGTTCCCTCGAACTTTTTATTTTCAAAATCTTTAAACCTTCAAAAAGCAGTTGTAAGAAGAGCACAATCTGTATACTTTCACCTGGCTTCACCAGTAAAAACCATATTTGCTTTCTCTTACCCTCTCCGACACCACACACTCGCACTCACAGAAAGTAAGGCGGAGCATTCCAGCATTTCATCTCTAAATGCTGCAGCGTGTTTTCCAAGAGGATGGCCTCTACCTTAACCACACTACGGTTACCACACCCAGGATCTTCAGTTGGTACAATATCATCTAATGTGTAGTCCCTGTTAATGCCTCCACCACTTATCCCAATGATGTCTCTCTCTTTTTTTTTTTTAATCCAAGCTCCAGTCAGGATTCCTTCATTGCATTTAGTTGTCTTGTCTTTTTAATCTTCTTTAAAGACTAGCCGCCTTTTTTTGACTTTAACATCAATATTTTTTGAAGACCAGGCCACTTTTCTTATTGACTATCCCACAGTCCAGATTTAGCTGCTTTTTCCTTATGGTTATATGCTCTTTAACATATAGTGTACATTCATTTAGTTATCTTTTATTCTAAATACTATGTCTTTTAAAACATTTTTCTTTTGGGATTGTTATACTCTCTTCTGGCATTTCTTCCATTCCCCTCCATCCCACACCACCCCCAAAATTTTCTACCCGGGGAAATCTTATTTGTTCTTAAAACACCCAATTTACCTTTTCTGGGAATTTTTGTTTACACCAATGATAAGAAGATTGGTCTAACCTTTGTGCCTCATATTATTTATTCCTATATTATCAGTATCAAACTTGGAGCTGAATCAGGACATGTATGTCTCTTTCAGACATTTTTGAAAAGGAATAAAATATCCCTGTCTTGAGGGAGCTCACCCGAGAATGAAAGGGAAAGCTTAAGATAGAAGAAAAACAGACGTGAAAACTGATGTTAGGTAACTTTTTTAAGTGACTAACAGAACTTTTATGTCTGTTTTTTCCCAACCTGGCCAGGTTTAGATTTGATGCTCTGAGCCTTAGGTAATGCGCCTGTACACGAAATGAGACATTCCTTTGGCCCCGGAAGGAGTTCTACATAGGCTATTGCACAAGCGAGGCACAGAGATAAGACCGAGTGGGAGTTTCCGAGGCATCAGGAAAAATACCAAGAAATGGGACTAGTACGGGGAGTCGTGCTTCCCGCAACGTGGAGTGGAGTTATAACTGAACAAAGGGTCTGAATCTTTTCTTTTTCCCTAGTACTGGATGAACGAGTACACCTCATCCATTGGCATTGGAGTTTTTCATTCAGGAATTGAAGTATATGGCAGAGGTACGTGTACACAGTCTCAATACTTTCCGAAGGTTTTTCGTTTAAAGGAGTTGCTAAGTTGTAACTATAGCTCTTCCTTTTTGTCTTTTAACTGCTTCCCTAACTTGTTGCAGAAAAGTGGAAGATCATTTCCCCATATTTATTTATACCGTACTTTGGAAAAATGCCCAAAGTTGAATGTATTTGGGGAGAAAATACCTAAGTACATGAGTGTACACTCATTTAGTTATCTTTTATTCTAAATACCGTGTCTTTTAAAACCTCTTTCTTTGGGGATTGTTGTACCATTACAGTTTTGCTCTAACAGATATTGGAGTTCCTGAGAAATGTTGCACTTTGAAAAATAACGTGATACAATCATTTTGGGTAAAGAAGCGTTGGTTCTAGAAAGTGTCACACTTGAAATACCAATTTCCTGAGGGAATTTCAGTGATTTGCTTTGGTAAACCTACAAGTGTATAGTTACAAAGTTTACCATATCACCGAGCAAACCCTGCCCTTGGTCACAGCCAGCTTTTCGCTGGAGAGAGGTGGCCTTTGTCATTCATTACTCAGCTCTTTGTATTCCTTATTGCCCTCTATCATGGCGAGCTTGGCGGAGCCACTCACACAGCCACTCTGCCTCCAGCAGCCGTGTCCTCCTAATTCCCACTCTCCCTGAAGACAGTTTACTCCCGATCAAGTTGGGAGCAGTAATGGTGGGTGTCAGGCAGATCACATTGCCAGTTTCATCAAGGTTGTACTAGTCTAGTACATTAGTTTGAATTACAGACTCGCCCTATAGCAGAAATGCCTGTAATTGCTTCAGCGAGGCAGGCTCTGTGGCCTCTTAGACTATGTTACTGCCATTTACTCAAAGGAGACTACACGCCAGCTTTAGCTATTACAAAGAAAAGGCTCGTTTACTTAAATGTGTCAGTAGGGTGTTTGTAATGTCCCTTTTTCGTATTGCACATTGTCAGCTGCATCCAGAGTGGTGTAAGAGTAGTAACTGGCCCGCAAAGGTCTGCTGTTGCACCTCCCTTTTACCGAAAGGCTGCATCTACCCAGTACTCCCTGAAAAGCAGTGAGGCTCCTGCTGAAAGCTTCAGTGGCTGGAGCATTGCTGGGGGTGGAATTGTAGTGTGGGGTTGGCTCTCTTGTTTGACTTGGCTTCTGCCAAAGTTGTGTGTGTTCCTTTTCAGCTGAATTGGTATGGTGTGTTACAGTTTTAAAGTGCCATCCAGTTTTGAAGCACATGACCATGCTCCTGGGAGGTAAATAAGAGCATGTGGCATTTTCTACACTTTTCAGATGGAAAGCTCACACCTGCCGGAAGTCACACTGTGCTAATGGTTAATAGAACTAGGAGTTGAGCCCAAATGGTGTTATATGCTAGTCCATTGTTCTTTTATCTGCCTGATCATTGCTCCCTGTCATAAAATGATTTAGGAATAATTAGAGACATGGTTCAGAACATGTCCATATAAGCTTAGCAAAGCTGGGCGCATACAGGGTGGGGCAAAGGTAGTTTACAGTTGTTCGTATGAAAAGTCATACAGTAATTGATAAATAATAATATAAGAATAAACTCTGTTTCACGTACTCAACTGTAAACCTGCTTTTGCCCCCACCCTGTGCATTCCTGAAAATGAGCAATCTCTTTTTGATGCAAGAGTAAATGGCTCTGTGACTTTCCTGACTATGGTTGAGAAAGTTAAAAACCCAGATACAGTCTTTCCATGGCAAGCCTGACGACTACAGTGTTTTATAAAATTCAGTCATTGAAAATGTTTTAATGTATACTTCAAAATTGAATGTTCAACATCATTGTTTTTTCCTGAAAGTCCTGAATCAGAAGTAAACTTAGTGTCTGCCAGTCTTTCCCATGCTGTGTTCTAAGACCTTTTAAGTGATGAGCTTAACTTAAACAATTTTTTGGAATTCTTTAAGCGCACTAAGATTTGCCACTTAAATATCTAAGTTTTTCATATCAGAACTGTAGACAGAAACTTTAGTTCCCTCCTTATTGGAACCATTCTGCATTTTCGTTCTGGAGGAGAGTTGGCCTCTGCTGAGCGCAGGTGGTCCCCTCCGGCTGAATGGGATGCCGTGCACAGCCTGTGCGAGTGGGTGTATGTAGTAATTTGGCAGTTTACTTTCTCTTGAATGGGGAAATTGAATTCAGTTTTTCAAGTTTGCTAATGTTTCAAAGATAAACCAGGAATCTTTAGCCCAGGAACCATGAAAACATGTTATTAGACAGATTTTTTTAGTCAAGTGCAATTTTGAATTTTGATCACTTTAATTTAGAAAATGACCCAACACTGAACTGACCACCTAGTTAAGATAGGTTGGCAGAGAGACTGTACTTACATCTGAGTGTTAGTTACTCTCCTCTTGCCAGTAAAAACAAAGTCAGCGTTACTTCTGAGTGTCTTTCATTAAGAGTTTCAGGCCTTTTGTGTCAACCGTTCTATACAGGTAACAGCTAAATGAGATGCTCGTGAAAATTAATAACCTGAAAAAATACTCAGGTGGAATCATCATTATCCTCGCCATTTATTAAAGCTAATTCAGCATTCTGGTTAAATTTTGTGTGAGAAATACTAAAAGTCATGAGTTTTCTCTTTTCAGAATTTGCTTATGGTGGCCATCCATACCCCTTTTCTGGAATATTTGAAATTTCCCCAGGAAATGCTTCTGAACTAGGAGAGACGTTTAAATTTAAGTAAGTAGGGAGGATAATTTTTATTACACTGTTTTAGGTGTCAGAACTTGTTTTCGGGCATACAGAATTCATTCTGTAGGTTAAAATCGAGGAAGTTAAAATGTTTCTTTAGCATTGCTTTAGCTGCTAACATTTTATTTGAAAATCAGATCTGTCTCAGTTGTTGTGTAAAGATGGGAGTCAGCCAAATAAAGTGCCTGAAATAACCTAGGCTCTTGCTTTTATTCAAGACCCATATAAGTTACTCTGTGTACTTTAAAACTGTTTTACCTTGGTATATCTCAGGTTCTGCTTTAGAAAATGTTCATATCCAGTTACTGCTTCCCCTCAATCTCCTGTTTGCAGGGAGATGGAGGAAAGTTTTATTGTAACCTACCTAGCAGTATTAAAAATCTCTTCATTTTCCCAATGAAAGATGCTATTTATAAATTTCAAATATTTAAACAGTTGATCAGCCGGGAAACTATTGTTAAGGTGCCTTATGAGTAGTAAACATTCAGTAGTAAACTGAAGATCTGAATGCTGATCATCAGGTTTCTATTCCTTAATTAAGGTTTGATTTAAAGTGATGTTTAGAACCTTAGTTTCAAGGAGCTTCAAAGACACTTCTGGGCCTACAATAGTTAACTTGCCAGAAATAGTGAAATGAGGTTATAGCATTGAAATTCAGCATAGGGCTACCCGTTTGTCACTGCTGTGCTCATGGTTCCCTTGGCCTGCCCCTGATTGGAAACACTTCCCCATAGACACGCTGTACAAGGCCATCCTGAATCTATTCCTTGGGTCTCCCTTTAGGCAAGACTACTAGATAAAAGGGTTTTCTAAGTGTTTTCAGCTTTCTCAGCTGCTTACTCGATCTGGCTAAAATTCTACATGCTATTGAATAATGTCTATTACATTTTCAGGGTAGTAGTTGGGTGAGGGCGTTGGCTGTGCCAACCATTGAGGGCAGGTGTAATTAGCCAGGAGTATTGGCAGCATGGAGTTGGTTCTCTAATAGGGTAACTACTTGCACAGTAGTAGTCAGAATAGCTGCTGTTGCATCCTGAATGTAAGGGCACGTTTTATAAAGAAGATGACTTCCTTAGCGTGTGAACTATTCAGAAGTAGTGTGCTTAAGAGTTTATGGCAGAAAAGTAGAAACTAAAACAATCAACATTTTAAAGTATCTCATTTACCTTCAGTCTTACTACAGTAACTGCTTTGCTATATCAATCATGATACCTGGAAATAAGCCAATCTTTAAGCCTGCTTTTTATAAATACCTAAACCTCACGCAGCTACGTTTGTTTGTTTGTTTGTCTTTTCTTTAAGAGAAGCTGTTGTTTTAGGGAGCACGGACTTCCTAGAAGACGATATAGAAAAAATTGTAGCAGAGCTGGGGAAAGAATACAAAGGGAATGCCTATCATTTAATGCACAAAAACTGCAATCACTTTTCTTCAGCTTTATCAGAGGTAAGTTAAATGTTGTCCTAAAAGTTCTTCAAATCAGGAACATTTACTAGTATTCTTGCTGTCCCACTGCATTTAATCGATGCATTTTTTCTGGTTCTTTGTGTTGTATGAAGTATAGTATTACGTTTCTTTCTCCTGCATGACCTCTTTAAGAATGGTGAGTTTAGAGCTGGCAGGGCCCTAAATTGTGATTATATTCATGAGGTTGCTGTGGGTACCGTGAGTTAGACTATTGTCTCTTCTAATTCATTTTATTACAGCCTGAAACTTTCACTTTTAAAAAGTTAATGCCTGAGAGACTTCTGCTTTCTAGCCACTCATACTTCCCCTTCCCTAAATTTTAGTTGCCAGCTTGAATTTCTTTCCCAGGCTCTTACTTATTAATAAGTAATTCTTTTCTCCTATCTCGAAATCTTATTCTGCCAGCCTATCACACAGGCACTTATTGGCCTTCCCAATTCTTGAATCCCAAGCAGAAGACCAAAACTAGATCGAAATTACAGGACCTTGAAAAAGAAAAGGGAAGGAAGAAAGCAAACGATTACCAAATAAGGTCTAGAGAATTAAATAGCACTTGAAATAGAAACAACTTCCCAGCTTTCTGACCCCGAGCAACCAGTTGTAGCAGCAGCACCAAGTGCTGCAGAAATTGCGAGGTGGAGGGAGACAAGGAGCTGCCTCTCCCTGCGCCCCGCAGGGATGCCCAGCCGCCCGGCCCTTTCCACTCCCTCGTGCCCCCGCCGTGCAGCTTCCCACCAGGACTGTAGCTGACTGTTGCCGTGCTTCTCAGAGTCTCTTTAAGGACCATGAGCACCGCGTAGGAATCCGGGAGACGTGCGTCGTCTCTGTCCAACTACAGACGCGCTGAGTCAGATCTTCGTTGTACACGATCCCCAGATGCTTCCCATGAACATGAAAGTTTAAGCGGTGCTAGTCCCGTGGATGCATTGATAGCAGAGAGGTGACCTGCTCAATTTTCAGGGAAGAAGGAAGGTGGCTCAGAGCTTTCTTGAACCCAGACATTGCATTTATAAGGAATGCAAAAACAGGTGGCTTTTAGTTTACAGAACTCTGTTGTAGGCTAATCCAGTTACTGCCCCAGGGGTTGAGATGAAGTCGGCTTCCCGGGAAGCACACGGATAGATGGAGGAAGGTGGATCACAGGATAAACTCAGACTTAGGAAGTGCAGTGAAGAAATGCCGGCTCAGCAGTCAGCAGCGGCCATACATTAGCCAGATATCCGCAGTCACCACGTCCTGTGGTTAACCTTCGACTATGCAGATATCCCTTCGTGTGTCTTGGGTGTAAAATGTAATGTAATGGCTGTCTGTCTGTGTTTTTAGAGTAAACAGATGGCAGTGGTATCCTGTAAGGTCAGTAACCATTCAGGCGCAAGGCCACACTTTTAGGGAGAAAAGTTACATTGCTTAGTTACAGGTGTCAGCCTGTTTATATATCAGCTAATTTTGGGAAATACTACTTTGAAACCTCTTTCCTAAGTCATCATCTAAGAGATGGATGGCACTTGTAGGTCACATGATCACAATCTTTGGCATGATTGGAGGCAAGAATGCCGAAAGGACCTTGGAACATGGACTCGGTGAAGCCCAGCGTTGCCTGTAGAAGGAAAGAGGGCAATAAAGAGTAGTTAGTTTTATAAAAGACCCAGGAGGAGGGATCCACTGAGGGACTCCCTCTGACCCCCATTCTGCCTCTGTTGTCCCTAGTAGACTTAAGCAGTCACAGAGCCAGGCCTTCCTCTGGGGAGATGCTTCTTTCTGGACCCGTGTGAGTGGGAGCTCCAGGGAAAAACCAGGTCAAGGACAGAAGCAATGGGGTGAGATGAGCACCAGGAGGAGCGGAGCGCTAGAGGCTGGAGGGACGCAGAAAGAATCTGGGAAAGGGGAGAATTCACAGGCAGGAAAATGCCCAAGATTGCCTGCGCCTGCTGCCCAGATCCTCGGTGACTCCGGTAGCGCCTGTATTTACAAGTCTTTGCTGCGTGTGTTGTCTCAGAACAGTTGCAAGGATCAAAGAGAGAAAGGAGCCGAATGGAATTAGCTCAGTTTACAGATGTAGAAAGTAAGCAGCTTGCCAAGGTTCTTCAGAAAGGAAGGGGTGGAGCTGGCAGTAGGGACCCCAGGCCCCCGAGTTAGGGAGCTGTTTGTTACCAGAGGCCTGAAGTCACCTCCCCACGGGCTAGTTGCAGTGGCTTTTCTGAACACCGGTCCCCCCTCCTTGGCAGCGGCCGGTTCCCCTTAAGTGTCACCTCGCACCTGTTTCTCCCTCCAGATTCTCTGCGGGAAGGAGATTCCGCGCTGGATCAATCGGCTCGCCTACTTCAGCTCCTGCATCCCCTTCCTCCAGAGCTGCCTCCCCAAGGAGTGGCTCACCCCCGCCGCCCTGCAGTCCAGCGTGAGCCAGGAGCTGCAGGACGAACTGGAGGAGGCCGAGGACGCCGTCGCCTCGGCCGCCATGGCCCCTGCGGCGGGCTGCAGGCCCGGGCGCCACACTAAACTATAAATGTCTCCAAAGTCACACGTTCAGAACTGTCTCCGGCAGTTGAATATCACTAGGGAGAAGTAAAAGAGAAGCGTCCTTTGGATATTTTGTATGCAAAGATGGCTCTCCCCCAAATCCCAGTTTTACAGCTCAGGATTATATTTGTAATCAAACCACTTGGCGCAGGAGGGAGAACTTTGCGCGAAGCTACCCTCTGGTTTTTTTTACCCACTTGTAAATTCGGATTTACTTCTGTTTTATACGAGCTCTGTTAAGTTATGTTTACAGTATTTTGTATCGCTGTTTACAAATCTTGCATGGACTCCTGCCACCGTGAAAGAAGAAAATCTTCATGTCTTCAATATTAGGCAGGTAATCTTTGTACACTTCCGACAATTGCCAGAACGATGGCATAGATAATAGGCACACAAAAAGGTACTTACGCGGTTACAGTCACCATCACCTGCTTAAGAATTGTCTTTCAGGTTTGTTTGTTTCTGTTAAGGTTTTGGCACCAGGATGCAGAGGTGAAGGAGCACACGCAGCCCTGAGGGTGGGCCTTGGCCGGCTGAGCAGCGGGCTCCAGCTTCCTTCCTCTTAGCTCTCCTCCCCTCCCACTCAGCAGCACATCCGAGGTTCCCGCCCTGCAACCGGTTGCTCTCATCCCAAATATCCATCCAGCCGGGCAGGATGGTCCATTCTTGTGTCCGTCTAGACGGCTTTGATGCCTCTGACTCTGTAATTAAGATGTTTTTTGTTAAAGACCTTCCTGCTAGTAACTGACAAGTGGTTTTGCACACGTGTTGGGGGGGGGGCCTTCATTTTTATTTTAACACACTGACATCCTCCCTGCACAGGGTTTTGTGAATGGGGTAGGAACACCCTAAATGGTAGCCTTCTGAGTAGCAGGGCGAGTTGACATTCAACTGCTTTTAACTATTCAGGCTGCCTTTTATACTAGACCTTGAAAACTGGTCTACAGTATCACACTCCAAAAAGGTAATTGTTTGATATTTCACACAGTTTATGTATCACATCAGAAAGACTATGTTGAGTTTGTTAGTTTGTTATGGGAGTAGTTTCACCTCATAATGGAAAACCTAGTCTCATTGACCTTGTTTAAAAATCACATTTGTATATCTTAAAATCCCTCTTTCTGTTCTCTCAAACGTATGTCTCTCACAAAACATACTCAAGGATGGAATTGTCACCAGATAGGTCCTCATTAGCAAGGATCCGTCTGCTCGAGTCTACTCCCAGCGTGACCTTGGACATAAGAGCCAAGTCATTACCTGTCATATTCACTCTTTCTGCCTTAAGAATGAATGTCCTATGTGAAATACTGGATGCAGTGTACAAACTACCCAAGGCAGTGACTCCAGCTTTCTATATGTGGTTTGTTTTAAAGTCATCCACTTTTACTTCAGCGTCTAGACTGGATTGTTAGTGCCCCTCCTCTTTGTAAAGATAAGTATCTTTCAGTAAACCACATTTTTAACTTTCCCATAAGCTGGTTTTGATTCATTTTATCAACTTAAGCACACCCTGTTCATGGGGAAGATAAACCTCGAGCTATAAGCGTTGACCCGAGGAAAGCAAAGCCACTGAACCTAATCTATGCTTTGTTTTGTTTCCGGAGAGGAAAGCCTGTACGAGTTAGTCTCGGTTCTCTAGGGGGCAGAGCACTTGTTTTAAGAGATGCGACAGGAAGAAGAAAGAATACATGACCTTCATGGGAATGCGACCTGGTTCCAGTCTAAAGGGAGATTAGAATAAAACACTAAGAGGCGAGCAGTGAATTTGTTCACTCGAGGCCTGTCACCAAATCCAGGTTAGGGACAAGTACACGATACAGTTTGCTTGGGACTCTTCATAATGTGGTAGGTCACGGTTTTCCTAATTCATTCGGATGCATATGGTTTAAAGCCAGGTTGCTGACACATGGAGGGGGGGCCGTGCGTTAGATCCTTCCTGGTGGAAAGCCAGGAACATCCAATCTGTGCTCACTCAGAATCCAGCACCTCAGTGCAGAGATAACTTTATTTGTATTTTGTTGTATTTACTTTAAACTGCAGCACTTGGAATTTTAAAATACTCTAGAGTCCTAGTTTCAGAAGTACATTGTGGCTCGAGGCCAGTTATAGTAACAATCAGCTGATGAAATTCTGGACCTGCGATGGACCCCAGTCTAATTGTACTCAAGGTTGAGAGAGGGAGAAATATCTTTAGGAAATCTCACGTAAGCCAATCCCTTCTCTACAGTTCCTGATTGAGAATGGGTTTCATTGACTAGCACTTGACCAGCTTTTCCTCGCCCTTGGAGAGAAAGACTTGCTCTCAACCTGATCTCTGTTAAGGAAAATCTGGTCTTTGAGATACAGGCAATACGATGGAGTCAGATGTTCACTTATGACCAAGTGAAGCATATTTCCGGTGGTTGGTTGGACAGTAATTTAGTGTTAGAGGGTCAGAAGATGCTGGGTTCTACAAGTGCTTTTGGGTGTGTTTTTCCAACCCTAAGGAGGGGGCCTGAGGGGTTGGAAGGTGGTGATGCTATTAGGGAGCCTCCGGGTGATGCCTGAAGCCCCGCCGACTACAGCTCTGGCCCACAGCAACAGTGCACGGTCCCGTCACCAGCCCCTGCCCAGGGCAGGGCGTACAGGGTCCAGCCGGCGACAGCACCGTGGACGCGGAGGTCAGCGCTGCGGGCCGTGTCCACGGCTGCTTTCCGTCACCAAACGGGTGGAAACCTGCACCGCTGCGGGGTCCTGATCCGTGTCTAAGATGCTCCGGAACTTTACGTTTGGAAGACGCGGGTCTGTTCGGCAGGTGGCCCTGCAGCCCGCGCCCCTTCTCCCCGTGGTCCTGGGAGCGCAGCTCCATCCTGACCTCGGTCGGCGCGGCCGGTACACGCGTCGTCGCTGCCCGGTGACAGCTGTTACCCGTCATGAGCCCGAAGATGATGTCTGTGGAGTTGAACACACATGTACTGTCACTCATAGTGTTTATACAAGAAATACCGGGAGTCTTCACTTTTGCTACCTTGATACAGCATTGGGCTATCATGTTAACAACATTGAAATACATCGATTTATTAAAAGATACTTTTCTAAGAAATGGTTTACAGCGCTTCTGGCCTCTGTTTCTGTTACGTGCTTATGTTGGGGGGGAGGTTACTTTCCAAACCCTAGACTCCCACCGGCTCCTGCAGAGGCGTGGCCGCCCCACCCCGTCGTGTTTCTCGTGTGGTCGCGCGCAGACTCTCCTCGCGCTTTCCCCTGGGGCGCAGGGCCGCGGGCCAAGTCCTCAGCCGCCACGAGAGCGTGACCGCAGCCCACGCGGGCAGTGGCGTCCGGGGGAGGGAGAAGCCCCCCGCCTCCCCACCTGCAGAGGAGCAGCCCCGGGCCTGCACACCGGGCGGGGAACCTGCCACCCAGGCCTGTGCCCTTGAGCGGGAATCGAACCCAAGACCCTGCGCGCGCCGGCCAGTGCTCTAGCCACCGAGCAACACTGGCCAGGGCCGAAGAGAAGCTTTTGAATCAGCAAAAGGGCCA